GGGGTCTGGTCTGTGGGACCAGGGTGCATTTCCATGGTGGTAGCTGGGGGCTAGGAGAGACCAGAAGGCCTTGGGATCTGGGCTCAGGAGGGCTGAGGCTCCTGCCAAGGCTCTGTGGAGGCGGCTGTGCAGGGGTCGGCGGGACCCCAATACTGCAGCTGTGGGGACCATGAGAGCAGCCGACCTGGCCTCCTGTGGCGGCGTCTCCACAGAGACGCTCACCCCCCGCCCATGCACCCACTGACTGCTCAAAGCCTATCCCACGCCATGCCCCTTGGGGCTGGCCCGTGGCGCCCTTCAGGGGTGAGAGTGCACCCCGGGGTCTACCGTGTCCCCACACAGCCCACAGGTACTTCAGAGACTCTCCCGGGCCCTACAACAGAGCCACTTGGAGCTCAGAAGGCTCCATGCCCGCTCCCGGAGTGGGCTACGGAGGCCAGGCCAGGGGCTCTCGGGAAGCCCGTCCTCCAGCCCCGGGCTGCAGGCCCCAGCAGCACCTCCAGCTGACCTCCTGGGCCAGCCCCAAGCCTGTGGCCAGCAGTGCCTGAGATCCCAGCATGCACGGGCCCGCCAGGCCCTCCCCACATGGGCTTCCTGTGGGTAAAGGAAGGAGCCCTGCAGCTGGGCAGGTGGGGGTCCTAGGGTCCACGGAGGGGCGTGGCTGGCTCAGGAGCTGTCTGCCTGTCTCCCTGAGGTGGGGGGGAGCCAGGCCCCTCGGCCCTCCCTGGATGAGCCCCAGCCCTGGCCATCCAGGCCCGTGCGGCCAGTGTCCACAATAGGGAGAGGGGGCGGGGGGCGGGGGCGGCAGGCAGGGGCATAGCAGGATCTGTCCCGGCCCACAGGACGCCACACGCAGGAGGTGCTTGTGGCCCTCCGGGAGCTGCGTCAACCCCCTGGAACGGTGATAATGGGGCCACGGTCCATGCAGATTTTCCAAAGAAGTCAGTCCTGATAAGGCAGGGTCTGAGATCCTGTTTGGCCTCAGTTCTGCCTGGAGGTAGTGGCGACTGCAGGGCCGGGGCAGGGGCCAGGGCGGGTGAGGCAGGGGCAGGGCCTGCTGCCCTATATAAGGTGCTGGGGGCTGGCCGCTCAAGCCGCCACGCAGCAGCAGTGAGACTGCCCGGACGCGGGAGGCCAGGGCTGGTGGACACCCCGTCCCCCAGCACCATGCTCGGGCCTCGGCTGCTCTTGCTGCTGTCCTGCGCAGGACCGCTGCTTGTCACTGGTAAGTGGGCATCTGCCTGGCCACACCAAAGGCTCTGCATCCCGACCCTGCACAGAGCCCCCTCCCCCACCTTCTCGCCTCGCCCGCTCCGCCTGGGGCAGGCTGACCAGAGGCCTCCAAGAGTGGGAGGCAGGAGGGGCCAGGCTGGAGCACTGCGCTGGCCCTCGGCCGCCACCCCGCCCCGGACCTCCCTCGCCCTGTCCACCTCCCAGTGAGCTAGGACAATGCCAGGAGGAAGCGCATTCGTGGGGAGCCATCAGCCAGGACCCTAGCTGAACAGGCGCAGCAGGACACTAACTGAAGACAGGACAGACCGGCTACCCTCTTGGGGTCTGATCCTTGGAGGAGAGGCAGAGACACCTCCTGACAGAGGAACAGCTCCCTCCAGCCAGGAGGGGCCAAAGCCCCCTGCTGGGACCAGAACTCCCCACCACGGCTGCGTTTCCCGCTCTGTACATGCGGGTAAAGTCCACAGTCCCCATCAGCTATCAGGGAGCCCTGGGTGGGTCGACGGCCGACTGGTCCCTCTCCAGGGCCCACCTGGCCTCTGTACCCACCCTGCCGCGCTCCCATGCCGTGGAGCCGTGGCTCTGAGCACTTCCCATCGCCCTCCGGGGGCCTCAGCCAGGCCCTTCCCCCACACACGGCGGGAAGTCATGGGGGCCACCCCGTGGGAGTGCTAGATCCAAGCAGGGGAGCAGGGCGTGGAGGGTGTGTACGGCCACGGCCCTGGGAGAGCATATTCCCATGGCCATTTCTGCACGGCCTAGAGGGGGGCCTGCGGGGCCTGGAGGGGGGCCTGCAGGGTCTGCGGGGCCTGGAGGGGGACCTATGGGGTCTGTGGGGCCTGGAGGGGGGCCTGTGGGGTCTGTGGGGCCTGCGGGGTCTATGGGGCCTGGAGGGGGACCTGTGGGGCCTGTGGGGTCTGCAGGGCCTGCGGGGTCTGCGGGGCCTGGAGGGGGACCTGTGGGGTCTGCGGGGCCTGGAGGGGGACCTGTGGGGTCTGCGGGGCCTGAGGGGTTTGCGGGGCCTGGAGGGGGACCTGTGGGGCCTGTGGGGTCTGCAGGGCCTGCGGGGCCAGACGGCCAAGCAGTTGGAGGAAGTGCCTAAGCCAGCTGGCTCAACCCAGGACAGACGGGGGGACAGAACGGCAGCGCAGGTCACCTGGCGGCTGGCCTGAGGTGGAGAGGACAGTCACACTGGAGTCCCTGGGGACTGTGGGGACAGACACCTCTCAGGGCCAACAGAGGCTGACCTGAGCCTGTGCTAGTGGGGTAGAGAAACTGAGTCACAGAAGGCCGTGCCGGGGGAGGCTGGCCAAGGCTCTGCACCTCCCAGAGGTGTGGGTCCGGGAGCACATACTGCCTTCTCCCCTGATATCGCTCCCGGAGGGAGGTCCGGGGCTGGGGCCACACGGCTCACTGGGCCCCAAGGACGGAGATGGATGGGGTGAGGGGACAGCAGACACCCAGTGCTACAAAGTCTGGGGTCTACACAGTACAAGCTGGGTGCATGGGTATGGTCCACACCCAGCCAAGCAGACACGACCTTGGGGTCAAAGGGCATCACAGGATGAAGTACCCCCCCCACACACACACACACAGGCTCGCTTATTCCAGCCACTCCCATTGCCCAGCCCGAGTCTGCAGGAGCCAGACTGCGGCTGAGCTCCTCTTCACCCAGACGCTGTGCCTGCCCACTGCCGGCCCTCTGTCCCTGTTCTGGGGTCCTCCAGAGACAATCTGGCCCCAGGAGACGGCACGGGGGGGGGGACCCAGACAGGGGCAGGAAGGGCCAGGAGCCCTCGGCACTGCGTTAAGGGTTGGCCAACAGGGTGGGAGCAGCCCCCAGGGGAGTCAGGACACCTGTCTGGCCAGCACGTGGACACCAGAAAAAGCCCCAACATGGGGGTACATATCTCCAGCTAAGGAGAGGAGGTGGAGAGGGAGGAAGCCCCCATGGCCAGAAGAAGCCTTCCCCACACAGCTCCAGCAGCCAGGCAGGGCCATCTTCTGCCTGCCCTGCCCTGCCCTGCCTGGACTGCCAGAAGGTCACTGTGACCTTGTTATTTAGGCATCTCTCTAGCAACCATCACCACAGTCCCAATACCCACTGTTGTGGAGGCTGCCAGAGAGGAAGGAGGTGGAGCCTCCAGACAGCCGGGCTCTCCTGGCCCAGCCCTCTCCCCTTCCCCACCCCGCCCCCAGCCCACCCCATGCCCAACCCCTGCCAAGCTCACCCGGAGGTGAGCTCAGCCCAGCTCTGCACACCGGCCCCTGCCCTCGGCACGGACGTCCGGTCCCCTACACACCTGTGTGTCCTGTGCTCGGTTCCCCTCTGCTGGGTGCATGTCCCGACTTGTGTGAGCAGTAATCCTGACAGACAGACAAGCAGGTGCTTCCCCCAGAGGGTACCACGGCTGGCAGAGCACATCTGCTCCATTCCTCGCTGCCGGCCCGCAGGCGGTGGGTCCCCCAGCAGGCCCTGCTCCATCCCTCGCTGCCGGCCCGCAGGCGGTGGGTCCCCCAGCCCAGGAGAGCGCACTCCAGCCATGACCTCCCCAGAGTGGCCACCAGCCCCGCAGGTGCAGTCTCTCCTGCAGACTGCTTTTCCTAGGTGACCTCGTCAAGGCCAGGAGTGTGCATACACACGTGTGTGCACGTGTGTGCGTGTGAGTGTGTGTGCACCCGCTTCTCACCTCCCGGGACACACTGTGGCACCACATGCCACAGCTCCCCCCTTCCTCCCAGCAAGCAGCACTGAGCAATCGCTCTGTGCAGACAGACTGAGCCGATGAATGAATGGAGGAACAAGGAAGTCATAAAATCAGGAAAAGGAGACAGAGCTGAAGGATGCAGGGCTCAGCCTGCTAACCCGGCTACCTTGCTGCCCAGAGGGGGGTGCTGCAATCTGCAGGCAGCCCAGCACCTCCACGGACTGGGTAGAGAGCCTCGGGCAAGGCGCTCGGGGCCATGGGGTGACAACGGCACACTCACCCCCAGCCCTGTCTGTGCAGGTCTGCACACTACCTCCTTCACCAGCCCAGGATCCCGGGATCCAACGGACTCTCTACAGACAGGTGAGGGCTCAAGCCCCTGTGGGTGCTTCCAGAGAGCCGAGAGCCTGGGCCGGGTGCAGAAGGGAGAGGCTCCCACACCAGGCCAGGCTGGGACACACTCGTGCACACCAATGCAATGTGCTTCCAACTACACAAGCACGTGCACTCTTACGCTAATGCAGCGGTCCAGGGTTCCCATGAGAAACCCAGAAACAAGGCCACCATCCAGGCAGCAGCCAAGGGCACACGCAGGAGTGTCATTGGGGAAGCTGGGCACTCAGGGACAGTGGCATCTCTTTGCGGCCCTGCCCCACCGTGCCTAGAGCTGCCACAGGTCCCCTGCTGATAGGAGGCCCATCGGTGTCTTCCTGTCTTAGAGATGCCACAGCTAAATACCACCAGCCCTGACACCAAGGGCAGCCTGCGGGGCTGCAAGGCTGGGAGGCAGGCCCCAGGCCAGAGCCCAGTGGGCACAGGGGGGCAGGCCCACGTCCCTCCCAGCGTGGGCTGCCTGAGCCCCAGCGCATGGGCCAGGTGTCCTAGACCTGCCCTTCTCCATCAGCAGGGACCTAGACCTTGAGACCTCCCCCGTCTCTCCACAGCCCCTGGCAAGGGCCAGTGCTCCACCTGGGGAACCAGCCACTTCTCCACCTTTGATGGCCGTGCGTACGAGTTCTCTGGAACATGCAACTATGTGCTGGCGGCCACCTGCAGGGAGGCCTCGCCCACCTTCAGTGTCCAGCTGCGGCGAGGGGTGCGCGGGAGCGTCTCCCGCATCATTGTGGAGCTGGGGGCCACCGCCGTCACAGTGAGCAAGGGCTCCATCTCTGTCAAGGATGTCGGGTAGGGCACGGGGCTGGGCTGGCCAGCTGGGCAGAGAGGCAGCCAGGGGATGGCTGCTGACCACTGACCTCTCCTACCCATAGCGTGGTCAGCCTGCCCTACACCCGCAATGGACTCCAGATCACACCACATGGCCACAGCGTGCAGCTGGTGGCCAAGCAGCTGGAGCTGGAGCTGGTGGTCACATGGGGCCCAGACAGCCACCTCATGGTGAGCGCAGCAGGGTCCCCACGGGCCATGGCCAGATAATCAGGGCTGGAGGGTCCCAACACGCCCCCCCCAGTACAACCCACTTCCTGCAAAGCAGCCCAGGTCCCCGGCCAACAACCACAGAGGACCTGGGTTTGGTGGGTATCCAGCTTCCCCATTTGAAAAGTGGGAGGAGACAGCCAGGATTCGAGCTCCAGGAAGTGTGGCGTCAGGGAGGGGGAGACCAGGCCCTGAGCACAAGTGCCATGCCCCCCCCCAGCTTGGGGAGGCCTCTCCTGTACCCTTGGGCCTAGCAGTGTGCACCCACAGGTCCTGGTGGAGAGGAAGTACATGGGCCAGATGTGCGGGCTGTGCGGGAACTTCGACGGGAAGGCCGACAACGAGTTTCTGAGCGAGGACGGTAGGTGCGGTGGAACGGTGGGGCTACAGACACCCAGGCCCCTCTGCAGCCAGATCCACCTCCCAACCTCTGCCCCACACTCCCAGGCAAACTCCTGGAACCCCACAAGTATGCCATACTCCAGAAACTGGATGACCCCAATGAGATCTGCTCCCACGAAGCCATCCCAAGAGTCTTCATCCCGCAGAACGCACATGTACGTGAGAGAGCGGGGCCAACCCCAGGGGACCCGTGGGGTTTCAGCTGGGGGCCCATGTGGGAGCAGTGCCGACCCCGGGAAACTTCGGGGTCTCAGCTGGGGGTCCCAGCTGGGGGCCCACGCGGGATCAGGGTCGACCCCGGGGGACTGCGGGGTCTCAGCTGGGGGCCCATGCGGGAACAGGGCCGACCCCGGGGGACTGTGGGGCCTCAGCTGTGGGCCCACACGGGAGCAGGGCTGACCCCGGGGGACTGCGGGGTCTCAGCTGGGGGCCCACGCGGGAGCAGGGTCGACCCCGGGGGACTGTGGGGTCCCAGCTGGGGGCCCACGCGGGAGCAGGGTCGACCCCGGGGGACTGCGGGGTCTCAGTCAAGGGCCCACGTGGGAGCAGGGCTGACCCCAGGGGACCTACCGGGTCTCAGAGGCCAATGATTTTCCCGTACCCCACCTTCCAAGCCCAGTATGACACAGGACATGGCCTTGCCAATCTGACCCCGAGTGGCTCCCTGCCCAGGCCAGAATCTGTGCCCAGCTGCTAGACCTGGTGTCCCCTGAGTGCAATGTGCCCAAGGAGCCACTGTTGCTGAGCTGCCAGGCAGACATGGCTGAGTGCGACTGGCCAGGCCAGCGGAACTGCAGCTGTGCCACACTGTCCGAGTACTCCCGCCGGTGCCGCATGGCGGGCCAGCCGGTCAGCCGCTGGCGAAGTCCCGGCTTCTGCTGTGAGTCCCCGGGAGTGCCAGGCCGGGTGGGGTGGCGGGAATGACAGAAGGACCGGGCCACAGAAGGGTGGAGGGAAGCCATGCTCTCACCTACGCCCCTGCCTGCAGCCCTGGGCCAGTGCCCAGCCAACCAGATATACCAAGAGTGTGGCACGCCCTGCATTGGAACCTGCTCCAACCCACAGCACAGCTGCTCTAGCACCTGCACCTCTGGCTGCTTCTGCCCCGACGGTACTGACACACCAGCACCCGCTGCCCCGGGGACCCCCAGAAACAAACCTAGAGAGGAGACATGCAAGGCCCTACCCCTGCCTGGGCCCAGACATTCTGCCATCTGAGTGCCAAGGCCCCTCTGCCCTGGGCCTCACCCATGGGTGAGCAGAGCCTATGGGGGGGGGGAGGACTAGGAGCTTGCAGATCCAGGCAGGCTTTTAAGAGATGGGCCATACTCAAAGCTGCTGTAGGGCTGTTCAAGATGTCCCATTCAGACATCTCCCCAGGCCTGGGAGTGGGGGGGTGATAGCAGAGTCTCCGCCCTCTGGGCATGGGAAATGTCAGCCCCACCAAGCTCCAAAACCTCTTTGTTGAAGGTATGGTGCTGAATGATCTCACCACAAACCACACCTGCGTGCCCATCAGCCAGTGTCCCTGCATGCTCGGAGGGGCGCTCTACCAACCAGGACAGGCCACCAGGGCTGCCTGCCGCACCTGGTGAGTACAGGGGACAGCGGGGCTGCACCCATGGGGGCCGAGCACCCCTGGCTCAGGACAGCGGGTGGGCACCACCCCTGCCAGGGCCCCGGCCTCCACGGTTACCCCTGTGCCACCCACAGCCAGTGTTCCATGGGGCGCTGGGCATGCACGGAGAAGCCTTGCCCTGGCCACTGCGCCCTGGAAGGCGGCTCCTTCGTCACCACGTTCGACGCCAGGCCCTACCGCTTCCACGGAACCTGCACCTACATTCTTCTCCAGGTGGGAGGCAGTCTCGGGGGTGGGGAGAGGGGGGCCCCTCCCAGCCCAAGCCGCCCACCCCAAGCCGCCCACCCCGTCTCTCCAGAGCCCCTGGCTTCCCGATGAGGGAACTCTCATGGCTGTGTACGACAAGTCGGGCTATTCGCACTCAGAGACCTCCCTGGTGGCCGTCGTCTACCTGTCCAGGAAGGTAAGGCTGCCCGCCCTCC